TGTGCAATGAAAAAAGAAAAAACAAACAGAATTTTTTACAAAAATATTGTTAATTGTTAACTTTGAGTAACAAAAAATAAATAAACAATTAAAAATCCAAAAATGGGTTTCAAGGGATCTCTTAGAAATTTTATCCCCTTTCATTTAAGAGCAAGAACATCAAAATCCAATAAAATTTGTAGGCTCTAGACAATTTTGAAGAGTAAAGTGTAAAAAATTCCACTGTGAGGCGTCCCGGGTAAAAGATACTGCGCTAGCACTGAAACGTGGTCGCGCTTCCACAAAAATTGCAATATCTCAAAAACTATTTAAGTCTCCATCGTTTTCTTTTTTTAAGTGAAAGGTGAAATTATAAGGAATATTTTATTCTTTACAGTAAATACTCAAAAATCAGTCCCGTGCTTAATAAATCGATTCAACCCAAGTAGAGATGTAATACTGGCATAGTACTGACCCAGTACTGACTGACAGTATAGCAGTACTGACTCTAGTACTAAATCAGTACTGGGAAATCCCTGGCTGGTAGCGCTGTCCAGTACTGATTTTTTTACCGGCAGTCAGTACTAAGTCAGTATTAAAATATCACTGGCAGAACACCGCCTAATTACTGATTCGCAGGTAAAATTTAGTAAATTTGGAAAATGCTGTAACGCGTTCTCTAAAACAAAATTTACCTTTAGAAGCTTATATTAATTTGTTATTTGATTATTAAAGAAAAAGGAGTAATTTATTGAATACTAATAATTATTATTAATATTTCTGTAGTAAATAAACTTTTACGAGTAACAATAAAAATGTAAATAATTAGCAAAATTGCTTTTATTTAAATAAGTTTTAAAAAAAATTTCTTTTTTTTCATTAATTTATACAATCTTATTTAATTTAAGGGGACACCTAAGTGGAAAAATGACAAAAAAATCGATTTTTTTTAATTTGATTTTCTAAAAGTAGACTCAATTAGGAATAGAACAAGACTTTTTAAAACCTTTTCTAAAGAGTAGAAAAAATCTGATTACATGATTCTGAATACCATGAGTTTTTAGTATTTTTTCTTTTTTCGTGTCTCCTGTCAAAATTGTTTTTTTCCAATTTTTTAACTTTCGGTTCGCTTTTCTCCGAATCTACTAAACCGATTTGTAATTTTTTTTTTACTTTGTTCAGTAAGGTTCCAAGAATACGAATAAGAAGTTTAACATCATTTTGAGTTGTACAAACGGAGATATGAGTCAATGAATCAGAGAAAATGGGATTTTTATTTTGCTTTGGGTATAAATATTCATAAAAAAGTTTCTATTAAAGATAACGTCGTATTACTTCTTATTCATATACTTGATTATATTTGTAATCGAATAAAAAAAGGGCGAACGCAATTGGAATAATAGTTTTCGAGAAAAGTGTACCGAAAGTTGACTCTTTTTGCATTGTTTTTAGGTGACTTAGGTGTCCCCTTAATTAATTATTAAATTATTATTATTATTGTTGTTTATAATTATTTAAATTTATATTTTATGTAACACTGTTGAGAATTATACACTAAACACTAAGAACTAAGACGGAAAAATATCACACGCACGAGAGATCGAACCCTAGACCTCGAGGACGCAAGTCGAATACACTAACCGCACAGCCACGCAAGCTTGGAAGTGATTTTACTTAAACTTCCTTTTGATCTATGGGAAGGATATATACAGTACTATAATAATGAATTCACTGTATATTATATTTATTTAAAGAAAAATTATTATAAATATATGTTTTACATATTTATATACATTTTAACAAGACATTCACATTATATATTAATTAATAGGTATAGCATAAAAATATGTTACAAATTAATAATTTAATTATTTATTTATTATTTTTAAATTATTTAATTATTTATTATTTATAATTTGATTATTTATTAAAATAATAATAAAAAATGTATATATTTATACATTTTTATTTATTAAAAAAAATTTTTTAAATTTTATTATTAATAATACATAATAGTAAAAATAATTAATAAATACCTAATAATTTATTATTATGATATACCTATTAATTAATAATTAATAATATATTAATTAAGTGTCTGATGTTATTGTCGATGAATAATGTTTATAAAAATCTTGAAAAATATTTTAATAGTTAATAAATCAAACGATGTTGTTTGTTTTTTAACTTCTTCGCAGTACTGATTTGGTGTTGTTATGCCAGTTTTCTGCCAGTACTGGTTTTAATACTTTTTCAACTCCAACGTATTACTGTTTCGGTTTTGGAGTCATTATACTCCCAGTAGTGATCGGGTTCCGAAAGACAGTACCGACGGTCAGTACTAAGTCAGTACCATGCCGGTGTTTAACTCCGTCCTAACTCCGGACATTTCTACTTGGGAAAATTTTTTTTTGTATTTTTGTAAAAAAAAATTTTTTTTCTTTTGCAAAATTCTGAAAAGACATGATTTCAAGAATAACATATTTTAATTTTATCGAAATCCATTAAATTGTTTCGGAAATATTCACATTAACCCTTTAAGGACCAAATGTACAAAAATTTTATCCGAACTTTGGGAGCAATTTTTAGTATGAAAACGGATTGCTAAAAATTTTGCAATAGACATTTCTTAAAGCTCAGGAACCGCTCTTTCGAATGCTGCAATAACAAATATTGAAAATTTATAAATAAAAAAATTACATACAGTTATTTAAAAAAACACAATTTTTTAAAGATTTTTTTTTAAAAATCAAATTTTTTTATTATTTATGGCGAAGGAATACGTCTCAAAGGTAAAAATATCGCGTCAAAAATGTCTAACCTAAAATGTTGTAAAATAAAAATTAGAAAAAAACAAAATGGCGGATCAAAAATGGCGTTCAAATTTGACTTTTTAATAACTAATATACAGCAAGTGCACATTTTTTTAAAAACCTCAAAGATTCGCTTGAAACTGGTTACTCGGGGGTTTTTGGGGTCGCTAATTACAAATATGATAATAGTTTTTAAAAGTTCAAAATGGCGAATCCAATATGGCGGACACTTTTTTCAAAATTTCATCGGATTTGCTTGAAACTGGTTACTCGTGGGTTTTTAAGGTCGCTGATTACGAATATGATAATAGTTTTCAAAAATTCAAAATGGCGAATCCAATATGGCGGACACTTTTCAAAACTTCATCGGATTCGCTTGAAAATAATTACTCGGGGGTTCTTGGGATCTCTAATTACGAATATGATAGTAGTTTACAAAAAATAAAAATTTCGGAGCATATACATTAATTTTTGTAATGTTTTACAGTAGTAACTTCAGAATTGCGTTAACTTTATTTTGTTGTAAAATATTTCAATTTTTATTAATTAATTATTTAATAATTCGAAAAAAGCGTCATTTTTTCGTTTTAGATATTGAAAGTACACATCTTAAGCTTTTTTTGGTACAAGAAAAAGAAAAAAAGGGTCCTTCTTGAAAGAAAAATAAAAAAAAAATTTATACCAAAAACATATAGGTATATATTACTTGGTGGTTAATTAGTCATACATATTACTAACTACTGTGAAAATATTAGCCCGATCCAACAACTTGCAATTTTGACTTTGGTACACTCGATAAAATTTGCCCCTTAAACATAATTAATCTTTAATTATGAGGCTTCAAAGACAGACAAAACTCGATAATAACAAAGAACAGTTACTATTAGTAATATTATTATTAAGTTTAATATTACTATTATATTTTACACAAATTATTTGAAAGCAAAAAAGGGTTTACATTTTTATAATTTCTAACCTGCATAATGTACATGCTCCGAGATTTTATTTTTTAAAATCTACTATCATATTCATAATCAGAGACCCCAAGAACCCCTCCTAATCAGTTTCAAGTAAATCCGATGAACTTTTAGAAAAAGTATCCGCCATTTTAAATTAGCCATTTTGAATTTTTAAAAACTACTATCATATTCATAATTAGAGACCCCAAGAACCCCCGAGTAACCTGTTTCAAGCGAATCCGATGAAATTTTGAAAAAATGTCCGCCATTTTGAATTTTTAAAAACTATTATCATATTCGTCATCAGCGACCCCAAAAACCCTTGAGTAACTAGTTTTAAGCGAATCCGATGAAGTTTTAAAAAATTTCCGCCATATTGGATTCGCCATTTTGAATTTATGAAAACTATTATCATATTCGTAATCAGCGACCTTAAAAACCCCCGAGTAACCAGTTTCAAGCGAATCCGATGAAATTTTGAAAAAAGTGTCCGCCATATTGGATTCGCCATTTTGAATTTATGAAAACTATTATCATATTCGTAATCAGCGACCTTAAAAACCCCCGAGTAACCAGTTTCAAGCGAATCTGTGAGGTTTTTAAAAAAATGTGCACTTGCTGTATATTATTTATTAAAAAGTCAAATTTGAACGCCATTTTTGATCCGCCATTTTGTTTTTTTCTAATTTTTATTTTACATCATTTTAGGTTAGACATTTTTGACGCGATATTTTTACCTTTGAGACGTATTCCTTCGCCATAAATAATAAAAAAAATTTGATTTTCAAAAAAAAATCTTTAAAAAATTGTGTTTTTTTTAAATAACTGTATGTAATTTGTTTATTTATAAATTTTCAATATTTGTTATTGCAGCATTCGAAAGAGCGGTTCCTGAGCTTTAAGAGATGTCTATTGAAAAATTTTTAGCAATCCGTTTTCATAATAAAAATTGCTCCCAAAGTTCGGATAAAATTTTTGTACATTTGGTCCTTAAAGGGTTAAAAAAAAATCTTATAAAAAAATTCAAAATGGCGTAACTTTTACAATTTAAAAAATTTTTTTAAATATTTTGGTACATTAATTTTTGTTATCAAATATAACAACTTTACCAAATTACAGAATAGAAGATATGCAAATTGTAATTTTTCTGACGGAGTTTTACCCAGAACAAACATACAGCGTGGTGCTAAAGTGTAAGTACATCTATCGCCTTTATAACTATTTATAAGATATAAAATAAATTACTTACAGTATCGTAAGGACCGAAAGTATCATTTGGACGCCTTTTATTTCAAAATGAAACGAGATTAATATTGTTCCAAAAGATAATTTACGGTAGAAGAAGCAGTATTACGTTTTGAATTATTAGGTTTGCCTCGAATTTATACCTGCGCCTTATCATCAACAAAAATTGCAATTTTTTCAGATATTGAAAAAAATACATAAACAATTTGTGATAAAATGTGCTTTTAATGTTCTAAAAAACATTTTCGAATCAATTTTTCTTTTCCATCGAAAGTTTTAAAATCGTAAAACTATTCTACATTCCAAATTTAACACATTTTATTATTTTTCACAAATTTTTAATTTTTTTGCGTAACCTTGAAGATGCTTTTTTCGAAACTGGTTTAATTGTAAGGCACAAAGGCAGTAACACAAGTGAGGGTCAAAGGTATCAAAATCATCTTTAGTGACCCTAAAGAAACCAAAATAAATATGTTCTGCTTGTTGAAATTGAGCTTTTAAGGTACTGCAGATACGATCAAATTCGAACATCCCAAAAGTTAATTGTCAATTTTTTTCACAGGTACCTATAGATCTCAAAAATCTAATTACGCCATTATGTTTAGATGTTTTAAAAATAAAAATGTATTGTATTGCCTATGGCAAAGATCTTAAAAAATTTGCTAAAAATGTGGTTTTTAACTATTTTAAACTCGTTTATTATTTATTTAATTTAAAAACGAAAACATGCGTCGCATTCAGCATAGTTTTGACTTTTTAGAAACCATTTTGTTTTTAATTTTCAGCCATTTTTGACATTTTTACTTCAATTTTTATCATGGCAAAGATCTTCACCATCGGTAGTTAAGGGGTAAAAGCTCATTCAAAAATTTAAAAAATCCCTTTCTGAGGGCGTTAAGTAGTCAAGGAAAATGTTTTATTATAATTTAAAATAATATAAAATTATTTTCTTAATTCTAGAAAAAAAAATTTCTATTCAAAATATGTAATAGAATATATTAAGTCTACAATATTTTTACGATTTTAAAACTTTCTTTTATTTAAAAAAAGAATATTTAGAACTGTTCTTTTCAATATGAAAAGCAAAATTTATCTCTAATTTTATAGATATATTTTTGTCAATATCTACAAATACAGTAAAAAAATAATAATTTCAACTGATGATAAAGCGAAGACATAAATATGAATACAAAACTTCAGTTCGTATTATAATATTGTTTTTCTTGTATTGTGCAATTAAAAAATATTTTTCCTGCTTTATAAAAGAAATAAAAGCAATAAAAATGCAAGTTTTTCTTCTTCCAATACTGTAAGTATATTTATTTTAAAATCTTACAATAATTTGTTTTTTTAACGACCATACTTTTGTTTGTTTGTTATATGTCCTCTTGCAAAGCAGGTAGCCAAACACTATATCACTGATTTAATTGGTTTTCATAGTTTCAGAGTTCACTTATAATGCACTATACATTTCCCTTGTATCTTTTTTATCGTCGAATAGAATATAGTTTTAACCCTTAAACCGCACCCTGGGTGTGCGACACCCATATTCTAGCATTTTACTCTAATATCTCGTTTAAAGTCGTAAAAGTTGAACATATGTCGCTATTGGACGACACATTTTGTACTTAACTTTATGTTCCGTGAGGGACATTAGTCTCCCAAGTGTCTTTGTGTATTTGATAACTTTATGAAATTAACAGCGAAAAATTTCTGGGTGGCTGATACCCAGTTTTCGGTTTAAGGTGATTTCAGTAGTTTTAAAAAACATTTTTTTTATATTAAGATTAAATAAATCATTATGAAACTTATTTTCCTTCAAAATAGATGTACTGAGCTACATAAGATAATTTTTCTGAACCATAATATCCTTTTCCAGCTTGGAGAACACAGTTTAAAGTCCCCGGGTGTCGCACACCCAGTGTGCGGTTTAAGGATGGATTCGGAAGTGTGCGGTTTAAGGGTTAAGGATATCGGGTAGGGAATTTAGAGTATCAGGAGGGATAGTCAGTTGACATCATCCAACCCCCGCCCGATAATATAAAGTTAAACATAAAACTGAAGTTTAAACAAAACAATAATAACATTTATATCAACTATAAACATTTATTTTCCCTTTGTATATATTTATTCTCCCTCATACTCTTTTCTTTCTTTTTAGGGTTTCGTGGACAAGGGCCGAAACCCTTATAGCGAGACTCTGGTGTCCGTCCGTAGTTGCCATGGCAACCGTTGATATGAAGATGGTTGCCATAACAACTGTTGCCATGGCAACCGTTGCTAAGGTAATGGTTGTCATGGGAACCATTGCTATGGTAATGGTTGCCATAACAACCGCTGCCATGGTAATGGTTTTCATAGCAACGCTTGTTATTGGAATCATTATGTGGAGTTTATGATTGATTTTATTATTTTTTTTTATTCAAATAATTATTTTACTACTACAAAAAAACTTTCCAATTTTAACTTTCAACTCAGTGTCTGAATTTAAGGCACATTCAGTTAAGGGGCCGTTCATATATTACGTAACGCTAATTTTTGAAAATTTTGACCCCCCAACCCCTATGTAACACACTGTTACATAGATTAGCGCTATAAACGCTTGCGTCAAGTAATAGGAAACCTGACCTTGTTTCCTATTTATCCAAGTGGCGAGTGCCGGGATAAGGCGATAAGTCCATCGACGATTTTCCTCACCATCCCATCTTTCGTGCCATCTGTCATCTCTTCTGAGGAATTTCTGTCTTTAGAAAGGAGATAGATTTCCTCCCTTTCTTTCGCCAAAAGATCTGCTGGCAGAACCCTTGCAAGGACCTGCACAGCACTCGTAGATACCGTTTTATACGCAGAGAAGATACGCGTTGTTATCGATCTCTGCGCCGACAGTATCTTTTTACAGATGGTCACACATCTTTTACTCCTCAGGGATGGGGCCCACGCTGGTGCTGAATAAAGCATTTTAGCATGGGCGATACTCGCCACCAGTTTTCTTTTTTGTTCATGGGGTCCGCCTACATTTGGCATTAACCGTAAAGGATTAGCGGCACACTCGATCGCCTTATTTGACGCCGTAGCCAGCCAGCTATTTGCTAGTCGCAGACATTCGTTCACCAATGTCCCAAGAGCCTCCTCGCTTTCGGCAGTGCGCAGTGCACACGAACAACGCGTCGTCCGCAAAGCCGATGATCACCGCACCTTCAGGCAGATCCATCCGCAGAAATCATCTATACATTCCATACAAATGGCCCCACGCTGCATCTCTTCCTTGAGAGTGCAGGTGTCTCCCTCATATATAACTCACCTGTCGCTAAGATAATTATCCATTATCCGCAACCAGTAGGGCGGCAGGTTCGCTAATTTATTTTTTAAGAAAATTGCAATTGTGTTTCATTTGACAGCCAGCCATCTTTATTTACTTTTGCTCCTCGCTTCAACGCTTCTAGCGGACATTCGTGAAGCTCTGGTTTTTTCTCTGTCTCTCTCTTGCAAACAATATTCGCCTGCCCCGACATTTGATGCATGAAAATGTCAAAGAAAATGTGAAAGATAAATTAATATTATATTTTCAAAAGAATATTTCTGGTGGTACAAAATTAATTTTATGGTTCTAAAATTCTAAACGATCTAATGAACACAATTTAATTATTTCTTTAAAATATTAAAATTTTATTATAACGTTTTGGCACGTATTAAAAAAAAAATAAAAATTTTTCTAATTATTTTATTTTTGTTTTAAATGTTTATTAAAATAAGTTTTGAAAATAATTATATCAGCAAAAGATTTCGTTCATTTCAATATTCAGAGCTTGTGGATAATAAATTTATAAAGTATAATGTTGATAATTTTTTTTCTCATTTTATATTGCGATAACAATTACTCGTTAAATTGTCATTGAACTCGAAATTTTCTTATTTACCGACAGTGATGTTTTTACCGACAGAGAATTCTTTTTCTTCCGCTGTAATAGAGGTTGGGTATGAAAATCAACCAAAGCACAAATGCTTGACTTTCTGCTGCGAAATCGCAGAGGGAAGTACGTACTTTCGACCGAGGTATAAAGAAAAATTAATTTTAGGATCTCCTTACTTGTCCCATCGATTCCAGGCGCCTTAACTGTTTTCAATCTTTTGCATGCGCTTTTCAATTCACTAAGTGTGAAAAGTTCTTCCTCTTTGACTTTGCAGGAACTCCAGTCCCTTCTAAGGTATGGTTCTGCAGGAGGAAACAAAGACTTTATTATCTGTCTAACCCAATCGGGATTGTCCAAGCCGGGGGTCTTTTGCCTCGTCACTTATTTCTTAGTAACGATTTTAAAACAGGGGCGGATCCAGACAAGGTTCTTGGGGGGGCCATCTGCTAGACGTTAGCTTGATGACCTTATATGAATGGAATTTTTATTAAAAAAATTCCAGGAAGTTTGAATTCTCGGGAAGGGCCATGTCACAATGGCCCCCCTTAGATCCGCGCCTGTTTTAAAAGCTAGACCCCATGGGTCATTATCGACTTCCTCGATTAGGTCCTTCCAGCTACGGCTTCGCGACTTGCGGATCTCTTTTTTGAGGTTCTTTTTTGCCTCCATGAAAGCCTCTTTCAGCAAGGGATCTCCCTTAGATCGGGTATATGTCCTTTTTGTTTTAAGGCATTCCTTTCTCAAGGAGGCCAACTCCTCTGACCACCAGTGCAAGGATTTTTTCATAGGAATGGCGCCTTTGCGACGTGGCATTGACGCATTGCAAACGGTGACTATCATGTTCCTCACCGCTCGCACCTCCATATCCATACTACTTGGCCTCTTTACCCAGCCCAAGTCCTCAATTAAGAGAACTTCTCTTAGGGACCGGCAAAACCTCTCCTTGTCGAGTCTCTTAATATTCCACGAGGAGGTTCTGCGACTGGGAACTTCCTGTCTTTTTCCTCCTCGTGTGTCTCCTATCAAGACTGAGAACTCAATGTACTGGTGGTCACTTGCGGTATATTCCTCAGAGACCCGCCAGTCGCTTATGCGGCTCAATATTAAAGACGATGCGATCGTTAGATCTATAATCGATCCGATCGCACCTCTTCTAAACGTCCATGTTTTTCCTCGGTTTACCACTAATAAGTGGTTCCTATTAGTTCATGTAGTTCTTGTAGCAAAATTTTGTCGAACAGTACTCTCTCCCTTATTATTTAATATTTATCTGAGATTCATCTCTGCAATGTATGCGGATGATCTTACGATTTATACTAGATATACTTCTATTACTGATGCACTGAAGAATTTGAAGGAATCGATTGAGATATTATCTGAATGATTCAGATAATATCTCAATCGATTCCTTCAAATTCTTCTTCTGAATCATTCAGATAATATCTCAATCGATTCCTTCAAATTCTTCAGTGCATCAGTAATAGAAGTATATCTAGTATAAATCATAAGATCATCCGCATACATTGCAGAGATGAATCTCAGATAAATATTAAATAATAAGGGAGAGAGTACTGTTCGACAAAATTTTGCTACAAGAATAAACGAAAGTGATTCTTACAGGATTTTCGACGTAGATTACGAATCTGTAAGTGAAATTGTCCCATCACGTCTCAATTTTGAGAAAAAACGGGGTAAAAGTTTCAAAAAATGGCTTTTATGGCACTTTTTGAAGAACAATAAAAAAATAACGCGACGTGATAAAAAGCTCAAATATGGCTTAAATGAGAGCTCAAACCCTCTACTTTAACATCCAAAAGCAAAAAAACATGTAGAAATAACTCAAAATTGTTGGGAACAACTTTTTACCGCATGCGCGTAAAACAGCTATTATTTTGGCGATATTTTAGCGATTTTAGCGAAAAGTTGTTCCCCACAATTTTGGATTATTTCTACATGGTTTTTTGCTTTTGGATGTTAAAGTTTAGGGTTTGAGGTCTCATTTAAGCCATATTTGAGCTTTTTATCACGTCGCGTTCTTTTTTTATTGTTCTTCAAAAAGTGCCATAAAAGCCATTTTTTGGCACTTTGATCCCGTTTTTCTCAAAATTGAGACGTGATGGGACAACTTCACTTACAGATTCGTAATCTACGTCGAAAATCCTGTAAGAATCACTTGTAGCAAGAAAAAACCTTAATTTTGTCGACCAGTGTTATTAAAGGCACCCTCTATATCAATTGCCAAAGCCAATGTACCTTGTTTTCTGATAAAAACCCTGTGTGATATCGGTAGTGACTGCTGCAACACAGTCTAATACAGAGCGACCCTTTCGAAATCCGTATTGTGAGGAGGGAACCCAGTCCTCAGACTACTTTTGTTTTCAAAAACATGCCAAAATTT